AGAAGATGACACCACTGTCACCAGTAGTTAGAGATTTTCTATATCAATAGATCTGTAATATATATGATTTGGTTTCCGGCGTAGTAGTTAGGCATCCTCACAGTACAATGCATGGTGGACTAATTAATCATATGTACAACATGGGGCCAATGGATTACAATTACAGTTTGATTTATCAGGGTTTATCAGGGGGTTTAGCATATATAGGGAATCCCACCCTGTCCCTGGAATGAAATTGGATTAGCATTGACATCAGAATCATTTTGAGAAATTTAGATGACCATCATATAAGAGCTCCGAGTACATGAAATGAGACTGTTTAAATTTTATTTAAGTCTATCTATATGATAACAATGATTGTTCTGTCCTTCCTACATAAGCTGCATTTTGAGTCATCAGTAAAGAATTTATCTCATATTTAATTTCATGCATTCTTTTTTTTCAGAATTTCGGAAAGGTAAATGCAAAAACAGTGTTTGTGATAGTTAGGTACAGAAGCTTGGAGACTGCATCTGAAGTGTACTCTTCAATATCGCTAATGTACCAGGTATCTATAGAAAATATTCCATGTGATCAGACTGGAAAATCGATTTATTTCAGTTTACAAAATAAACTTTATATATGAAGATCTATTTTCTGAATAAAAAGTGTCTTATGTAATTTGGTGTTTGAGAGCAAGGCGTGTGTTAATGAATTTGTTATGAAAGATTACTTATCATAGTCTAGATCTATCATGTATTTTAAATCCATCCCAAGCCTAGCTATAGGGACATACATATTGAGTTCACCGAGAACAAGACAGTTCCCCTGTAAACCGGGAGATAGGGACATCATAAAGCCTTGCTAATTAGGCAGAAAGATTAGTCAAGTCTCTTGGCTCAGATAAGTTAAATTCCACAGATTATCCTTTTATAATACATAGCAGGTCAGATCAATGTTAATTGCAGGCCTTATAAATTCCATGTCACGACAAATACACAGGCTATATCTTGCCTGTGTATGTCATACCTATCTATAGAACAAACACATGTATGAACGAAAGAATTTTATCAAGATCTTGGTAAGAAAATTGACACAGTCTTATATTTAAAAGCCTAAACAAATATTTTACTTGGAAGTTGAACTTAGAATATTTGAAAACTCCAGCATTATATTATTGAATATTATGTAGCCTGCCGAACACTGAAATCATTAAACCAGCTACCAACCTAATGCTTTTGCAGTGCTGTTGGCAGCTGATTCACGATGTTCAACCATGTAACACCTGCATGAGCAACCAATTAATACCAAATGTCACGTCATGTGATCCTAGCTGTTGTGAGGACATAAAACTTATAACAAACATACATGTATGCAAACTGGATGGCAACAAAACTAGCTTAATATTTGGCAATCAAATCTTCTGTATCAATGACCATCTTCAATAAGAACACTCGTTAGATAAGACCAAATCCAATTGCATCATTTCCCATGATTACGTGTAGTATAGTTATTCATGTGTTTGTATTCAATTGTGAAATGTTTTTCGCCCTATGATATACATGACAGAAAGCAGGAATATTAATTTACAATAATAAAAAGTTTGTCCACTGGAACCTAATTCCTACTAACTTCTGAGACACACATATCTACTTCATTTTTCAAAGAGAGCTTGATCTTCTACTTTCTACACCAATGCCTGGTATACTGTTGGTTCACATGTTTATAGATGTAGAAGAGTCAGAATAGCTGTGATATCTCTATTGGTAGTACCAGAAGGCATGTTTCTGTGGAGATTTACCCAGCATGCACAAACAATTAAACAGTGAAACCAATGAGGAGCTCCATGGTTTAGACACATACCAATCATTACGGAATACACAGCTGCATTGTGTATGCTGAGAAGTGGTGCTCTACAAAATAACTGTACATGTGCATGCTTCAAATACCCAATGATCCATACAAATATTAGTTAAGTCAATTTTTTCGGCGTTCATTAAGTTTGTATTGGAACCCAGGTCTGAAAATTGTACCCTGATGAGGTACCCTTCAAAATACAAGTATGTCATTACTGTCTGTAAATGACCCTGTCAATAAAGGAAGATACTGCAATATTTCAAAATCCCTTATTTGTGTATGACGAGTTCTGGCTGCGCATGCGCAGTGAAAATAAATCTATAAAGAGGTTGATGAGCTTGTAGCGTGAAAACGAAAGTTACTGCAACTTTTGCCCTTTTATCCTGACAAGGGTTTAACTTTTTTCCCAGTTATTATCTATACTGCTTAATTAAAAAAAAAATGTCCTAATCAGTGGATTTTATTATCTTTTTGACAAAATGCACATAGCACTCCCACTGAATAACGACATGCTATGCATGGATATAATATTTTGAGTACGTCTGCAGGTACAGGCCTAGGACGACGGAGTTAGTCTGTTCATGTGTTTTAGTTTCTGGCCAAGCATACCGCTGATAAAGGAATTACTTCCTAGACAGCAAGGTGAGGGCAAATGCAGGGATATAGTAGATTTAATGATTTACTCTTAAATAAATGTAGTAGAGATATGTTAATAAAGTATACTTTCGCATATGTAATTTGATGTATTTTGCATAGATTTAGAAACCAAGATTGAACAATTATTATAGAATACTATTATCAAGCATAAAAAAATAAAATATAATCAAATATTTTGTTTGTTTTTTAAAATACACAACACTTACCCTTTCCAATATACCGATATATGGTACAATGTATAACAATACGAACTATAAATTAATTACTATGTTACAAGCACTCCATCCATATACTGATAAAGTGCAGGATGAGTCATAGACAGCAGCAAGCAATGTCCACCAATACACTGTGTATACATCCCATACACATACTGAATAAGAAATAATTTGATCATAATGATTTCACTGAATTGCTAGCTATATTTAATTTCAATTTGGATTTTAACCCCCAAAAAAATAAACTTAAGACTTGTTTAACTTTGAATGGATTTTTTTCTTTCTTTCTGATATCCACATAGGGGCTGCTGATGACATCATCTAAGTGGTGCACCAGTACATGCTATATCGGATTCTATCCAACTCCATGGCACGATCAATAGGCTTTTATATTTTTAGCCAAGGTCAACACAAAGGGAAGTATTTATATATCAGGTATATAGGCTTTGATGGAACACAATTGTGACATCCTCACTAGACACAACTTCCTGAAGCTAGATATAATAGCCAGGTTGAGACAAAGTATTTGTGAAATAACATTACATAGCCAACATTTATAGAGCGCTCTATATATATATATATATATAATTGAAGGAAATTTACAGAACAAAAAATTACTGTATGACTATAACGCCTCTTTGATTTGCTGAAAAAAAGGTTAGTAGCCTGCAGGTGGACCTCAGATATACCATCATGTGACCAACTAAAATTTGAATCAGGCACTACATTATTTGGCGTAGAACATGTATCAGTATATGCTTTAGTATCAGTGAATATATATATATAAGCTTCTATCCCTGGCATAAAAAAAAAATCCAGTTGAGTGACCAATGTGATCTGTATTGCTGGTCAGTTGGCCTGCCAGTGGAGATATACTCAATGAGGAACAAATCGAGCAGGCCCATTCAGATTGTGTACACCAATTTGTCACTACTAGAACATCCCAATTATAGCCTGGAGTGAGGTATATATAAAGAGTGAAGGTTCTTAAAATTCCCCAGATCTTAACGGTAATTGGAATTAAAAATAAGGTGGATGATTATACATGTAGGGGTATACCGTATAGTGTTAAATTTGAATTCAAAACCTGAAAAAGCTTATTGTAGATATGTTTGTCTGTCTTCATGCAGACAAAGTAAGAAATTCGATATAATACAACCTTACAATTAATAGCTTTAACGAAAATCTGCAGGAACTCGACTTGGCTTAAACCATTTTAATTCTTCTTGACCAATTAATGACCATTTGGAATTCATTCAAATAAAAAAGTCAGCTTCCGAAACATATTTCTATATGTCTGGAACTTGGATAAGTGCCCAAGTATATACATATAACCATGGTGCGTGGTGATACATCAGTGTTACAAGTACGTGAAGTATACCTTTACTTTTTTTATAGGAGATACATTTTGTTTAAGGAGCACAGTTACCGGGGGGGGGGGCTATGGACTAGCTATATAAATGCCGTGACGACAAGGAACAAGAATCGTACCAGTAGTTGGTCTAACACAACAGACCTAAGGAAGAAATATTGACCGAGACAAAGCCAATGTCAAAATAACTTTTCTGATCCTATACTGTATATAATAACCACATATAGTCAAATATATTACTCCTGTGTTAGTTGTGAAAGTATGCTGTTTTCATGATATACTGTATATATATATATATATATGATCATCATTGAACAAAATGGAATGCAAGAAACTGGCAAGAAAAGCTGCAATTGGCAGAGAGCATTAATTGTGATATATTAATTAAAATGATGTCAGAAAGAGTGTGAAGACTTTCTGTTTCTAAAAATAGATTATTATATTCCAATGAGGATACACTACAAAAAAAGTTTTGTCACCTAAATATAATATGGTGAAACTCGAACCCTCAACCTCTAGTATAGTTCCTTTTGGAGAGTCAACTGAACATAGACCTGATAAGAGCACTTCAAGTAGAGCACTTGTTTAGAACTTCTTTATACACTGTACAGGCAGGATGTAAATTTACAAACAACTTGACATACAAACTGCCTCTCTCTGCATCAATGCTCCATTCCATTAATGTAATAACCATCAAATAATGTGTAAGCAGCCTGATCTCTTTCTTTAGCCATAGTGACAGGTAACTCTTTTCTTGGTGTGGCCTACCTATGGTGACTGGACCAGGTCAAGTCTACCTATATATATGTACACACTACACCTGATAAATTTGAAACACCTGCTTACTCTGACATGGGTGGACAGGTACAAAACACAACATGTTTACTGGCTACAGGTCAGATCACCTGTATATTGCCTACCTGCCCAAAGGTGTAACCATCAAATGGCCGCTGGTCATCACACATTAACACTATATGTACCAGGTAAAGCCTGCTTTAGTTGGTGTTGACAGTTGTTTATGGTGATCCCCTCATGTGTCTAATCCATGTGAGTCCAGGATAAGAAAATGACCACTACAGGTATCTATAGTGGCCATGAGATCACACTTGCCTCAGGTATATGAATGAAACAGGCGAATCTTGTTAAATCCAGGTGTATAATCAGACTACATTACTCCTTTGATAGTTGTATAACCACCAATTTCACAATCAATTCAGGAATAAACTGTCTTGATTTTAATGTAGTTACTGGTATTTACCTGTCAAGGACCGAGATATATCAGAAAGCCTTAGATAACACTATACACACAGCTATACACACTGAGATGACTAGACCTGATAATTGGTATCGGTCTGCCTATATATATATATATTTATGACGTTACACCACATGTGTACAGCAACTACATGCAAGAGTTAACAAAAGTACAGTACTCTATAACCTATATACAAAGACTCATTCAACAGCTTTCGTCATCAGCTATTTCAAACATCAGGCATCACAGGAAATTCAGTGTGTGCATGCACACACAGTCTTTATCATATAACACGCAACATAACAAGGTATCTATTACAAAATGAAATCTATTCTTTTGTATGAAATATCTTTCACCAAGGCTTGTGTAAGTTTCATTTATGATGAGTATCTAATAGCACTGAATGGTGAAAATCAACCAACATTTTTTTCAAAGTTATTTCAATATGGTATTGTATAAATCTTTATTTTTCGATGGAATTTAATTGAAACTATACTTAGAGTACATATCGAAATCAAAAGGAAGCTGTGTGTATCTTTATAAATACAAATTTACCTTGAAGGCTTGTAGACACAACAGCATATTGTAAATCAACATATATATGAACCAATACCATGCAAGTATATGTATACATACATCTTTTTAAACCTGTCATGATCCTGAGTCCAGCTGTCTGTCTGTTGATAATTAGTATTAATTACATGTCATGGACATCCATTTCTCACAGATGGGAACAGACAACCGAATCACACATTCCCCAAACCATTTAATTTGTCACCTTGAAAATTTTAAACCCAACATCTTCAATTGTTACGGAGAACTTATATTATCAAGGTCTTTCATGCAAATCCATTATGTATATGAATGAATGAATGACAATATGTGTCTATGAGTTTACCCAAGTAAAAAAGAATCTGTATTTGATTATAAAGAAGATAAACATTTACAGTATACCATCACTAAGATATAAGAATTCTGTTGTGTCATGATATCACCTGATGTTATCTTACAAAGCTTCAAGCAATCTTATCTCAATGGAGGTTGTTTAAAACCTTATAAACTCATACAAAATCTAACTGGCTCATCATTATCAGTCTCAGATGTACTAGGTCTATATCATGTACACTAGTTATAGCTAGAATAAAGGTCAGCTTCTTCCAATTGTAGTAGAAATGTTCAATGAAACCTGAACTTACATTTTTATTTTTGCCCTCTAAAATTTACATTAATACCTACACCATCACATTTTTGGTGATTAGAATGCTTCTCAGTTCCGGACCAAATTAGGCAATGATAAACCATTAAAAAAAATCTCAAACAACAGATGATCACTTATCAATTGATGAAAATAGTGAAGCATTTACGAAAATGTTTTAAATACATTGAATATTGTTTAAATACCCAACTATTTTAATGAAGTTTATAATATTAAGGAGGCACGGTAGTCTACTGGTAGGATGCCAGGCTCGTGACCAAAGGGTTACGGGTTTGAGTCACAGCACGACACTGTGTTGTATCTTTGGGCAAGATACTTTAATCCGCTTGTTCTAGTCTACTCAGCTGTAAATGAGTACAGGGTTGGGCAGTGCTAGAATTGTTGAATGCTAGCTGTGAGCGCCTAAATGGCAGCACTGGCTGTATGCTCCCCAGAGAGTTGAGCAAGATATTGGCTGGTTGCTATAAGGCCTCATAACCACGGACAATAATTTGCGAACCGTTTTGAGACGACCTACAAACTAGTTTGTGATAAAGCGGTATATATAAAAACCTCAAATCATTATTATCATAAAAGTTATCTTTGATATTGTCCATTAATTTGTTCCAAGGTTTGTCTGAAATAAAAAGTCTAAATAGTCCAACAATGATCAATCAATGAATCATGAAAATAATCCTGATTTTGGTCAGTTATATATGGAGGTAAAATAAGTAGACATTTAGTGCATTGATTATTGATCACAGCAAGTACACCATAATATAAGCTCTTTATAGCCATGTATAAAACCATACACATTCTCCACTTGGCCACATAAAATGAACTCTATACACAATGTAAGGATTTTCACATAAAAATGTGAGAACATATTCTGTTACTCTGATACAGCACATTCTCATATTCTACTACATAGATACAGAAATATGACTGCAAGTTTGTAAACGACCAGGTCTGGGTAAAGAATAGACCAGCTGTATCTCACTGCATAGGCAGGCATATTTACACATGTATGTACTTGTATGCAACAAATATTGGGGCCAATGATTAGGGGATTTACCAAGAAACTACATTTTCTGCTAAGGGATCAGTGGAATAACTAAAATTTATCTTCTGCCCCCCCCCCCATCACAACATTTTGAACTCCTTTCTACTCTCTCTTTAGCTATGTCTTTGTTTGCACTTGTCTTCATACCTGTAACTTTTAAACTACGGAAGGAGATAAATCCTGAACAATGTAGAGGTTCAACTTGTCAAGTCTTAGGTATGCACATGTAGACATTCATGTATAATGCAAGTCATCTGGCTAACCATTCTGAATGTCACCTCTATACATTTAAAGGATAAATTTATTCTATACTGATGTGTGTAAGTATGTACACTTGCTGTATGTCTTAAAGCTCATTATCAGATTTTATATAGCACATAAACCATCAGACATTTACAAGTCCTGCAAACATGTTCATTTTAAAAATTCATAGAAATTTAATACCACGCAGTCACCAACAAAAGCTTCAACAAAGAGTTGTTAGAACTATCTAAAACTACTCTCAGAACTACAGACAATACCATACAAACACAACGTTGCACTTCATTTGATAATCCCACCTGGTTGTCAAATTAATATTTTTAGAGACATATAATCATGACAGGGAAAGCTGATCCTTCCACACAGTTTTACCTATTCTGTTTCACAGTGCTGTGTGGGGAATATCAAACTGCATTTCTACCAAGCTCAATTACAAAAGAGGTATATATTGCTTGACAGGTATGATTACAATAAGTGTTTTCTACTTCTTCTACACAGCTATAATACAAACTGAACAATGAAATTCACAAACAGACAATACCACTCCTATTTCAATTCACTTACTGTATAATCTTTCCCGACGTTACACACTGAAGTGGATAGCCATTTACAATAAAGACTTAAAGTTTGCCTTATAACACGTGAGAACTGGAATACATAACACACAAGTCTTCCTTAGGCGTACATAAACAAAAGCTGTTTTACAAACACCAACAGTAATTATCTACCAAATGACCCTTTATCTGTAGGTATAATCTATTTACGATCCACCAAATACTCTCCCCACTCATCTTGTGCTCCTACATTAGGTGGCCAATATCAGCCCATATACACCGAGTATCATCACAGTCCATCTAGTTGCTTACATTTACCTTCATAGGCTTAAAATTCACATAAAACAGAAATTTCCTTTTCACTATTTGTTAGTAATATATATACTTGCAGCTTTCAGTTATAACTGTTGGCAGGTCAGAGTTGATTGGTATTATCAAGTGTACTGTTTGTACATTATATATAAAGTCAAATTTGGCATACGGTATACGTGTGAGGCTGAGTATTTCCCTCTCTACTGCCATAGATGAAATACAGATAATTATATTATGATAAATTACTGTCAAAGCATACATATTTACGCAGCAGTGGTCTTACATACACTAGACAAATAACAGTCACTACACAATATTATGCTCCCATTATAGACTTGAACCCAAGGCTTCCCCAGCTCTAGGACCATCTATTTGTATGTATGAACTGTCCCTCGGGAAAAGGGGCTATTTATTTCCACCGACGTTTCCCATCAATTGGTTTAATACTGGCACTGTTCTGAATTTAATATCATCGTTTTTCCCATTGGTTAATTGATGAAAAAACGTCACAAAAAAAGTCTTATTTTAATTATTTTCAAGTACATGTACATAGAAATCCATTTGAAAAACACTATTTATTGTAATCAATTCAAAAAACTTCCTTCTATCAACAAAAGTAACTTTTATTTCTATGTATACACAGTGTATTTAATCTTGCAATAAACAGACTCAGTTTTAGATTTAAAGAAATCTCAAAAGGGGAATTTTTGGTCAAGAATGGCACCAGAACATCTACACCTTTGGCTGTATCTCAAACTCTCAGGCCATATATCTTTTTTCCCCACACAGCTGTAGGTATATATATCACTATGTTGTAACCGGTTTCACCTGCACACTTCCTGAGCACACCTTTGGTTACTGATAGACTTCCCTATACCCAGCTGGGACATGTGGTTTTATATACTCCCATGACACCATTCTCTACAAATTACACATCTGGCCTGATCCAGGAAATTTTCAGACACAACAGAGTACAGAAATATTGATAAATCATAAACTACTAAAATTAAGTAAGTGTTTTAAATTTATGTACTCACAAAAAAGTGCATTTTAGTCACAGAGGTCATTTGTTTTATGATAAATTGTTAACAGCAATGAAACGTATAAATTTGTTATGCAAACGTAAATACAAATCTACATATATCCATGAAGTTACAATATTTTTTTTGATAATCCAAGTAAATAATGTTGAGTTGATATTGTTTGTTATTCTATGTATAATAAAGAACGACAATCAATAATATTATAAATTTTTAAAAATCTGACAAATTTCAATCATGCGCCATGTATCTGAATTCTGATGGAAGTTAAGAATCCTCAATCTACAGATCCACGCACCAGATTGAAGTAAAACTTACATTGCCACAGATGTAAATCGAGGCTCCGTTGCTGTTGTTGATTTTTGTATTTCACTAGCTATGGCTAATCTTCACTCAAATACCCAATAATAATAAGTTCACTATAATAACATAATACTTGTTTCTACTCATTCTAGATCTACACACTCAGCTGACTGACACATTATACTGAACCTATTCACACCCCAACCTTATGTATTACCGGTATGTATCAGTCATCACACA